GGTAGTAAGATCGTCTTTCTAGGATCAATATTGACAGAGTTATTACACAAAAACCATTAATATTTTTTTAATTTCGGAAATTAATCTAGTGATTGGATTTCGACGTATTTTATACCATTAGAACCGTCTCATCAAGACGAATCGAATGGCGGTAAGATCATCTCTCTACGATTAATATTGGCGAAGTTACGGTACAATAAAGTTTTAAGTATAATTCTGGCTAAAATTATGTTAATTTTTGGCCAGAATTATGATATACAAATACAAGAAATTTTTTATATAGTCACATCTCTTTATAATCACCAAATATGGACTGTCCCAAATGTGTGACTATAAAGAGAGTTGACTGTATATAACTTATTGTTAAAAAATTATTTGTTTATTAATGCAATGAATGTTTATGGATATTTCATTATAAATTATTTGTCGTAATTAAAATACAATGTCTAATTATATTACTAAAAAGTCATTCCATAAAATTTATTTTAAGTTTACATGTTATTGTGAAAATTTGAAATTTTAATTGAAAACTACACGTAATGTTAAAAATGATTTAAACTGCAAATGCAGTTTTATTTAATTCATTAATAAGCCAACAATACATGAAAGTTTAAATATTTGTACTGTTTATCAATAATACGTAAATAATTATAAATTTATTTAATTTTTCTTTTGTAACGTAAATAAAATTTATTGCAATTAATGGTTTTGAACTATCAAATAATAATAAAATTAATTCATCTCAATTTGCTGGATATATTACAAGATATTCAGATGTTTGCATAAAATACAAAAATAATCATAATATATGCTCAGAAATGGTTTCAAGTCAACAAGTTAATAATGAATTAATTTCAATTTTTAAAACTTTTAATAAACAAGAAGAATCAAATTATTTAGATAATTATAGATTAAAAATTGAAACCCCAAATAGTTACATCAAACAATTAGGAAAAGAATTAATTGCTGATTACAACTATAAATACTTCCCCTCATTACGTAATAAAAGCGAAAAAATAATTTTAACAACAAATAATGACAATTATGTTAATGACTATTCAATTTATTTTGATACACTGAAAATGAGCTTAATTCGTTTAGAACAGCTTTTTATTCTCAACGATTTACCACCATTTTATATTTATGAATTTTTAAAACCTACAAAAAATAAATTTGGTCAAAATATATCAAGTTGGATTAAAAATATAACAGTGATTGATGTAAAGAAAATTAAGCAATTAAAAATATATCTCGATGAGTATTTTCAGTTTATATTTGATCGGCCGAAAAATATCTATAAAATTAATAAATTAGCAGTGCCAATTGATTTTTCAGACCAAATTAAACTTGACGAGTTTGCAGAATATTTAAGTAGAAATTCAATTGTCGTTTTAGATTTTTTTGATGAAAATCTTCGGTTAGTAAGTAGTGAAGAAGCAAATAACAGTTTTATTACTTGGTTTAAAGCAATTTATGAAACAAACAGCTATGAAATGCAAAAAATTACAGAATACAGATCAAATATTGAAAATCTTATAAAAAGAATAAATGAAATTCATTCAAAATATAAAAAAATAAATTGTAACATAAATAAATTAGGAATAGAAGCAAAAATCGCAAAGTTGGCGTTAAAATTGATTCCTGATTATTGTGATAATAACGTTAATACTGAAAATAAGCAATGTTTAATTGATTTAGAACAATTAATTATCTGACATGGAATCTCTACGAGTATTGTTTTTGAATATACAAAAAAAAATGCTAATCCAATAAATAATGATATTATTAATTGGATAAAAATAATAACTAAATTAGATAAAGAAAAAATTGTTTTTTTGAAAGAATACTTGGATCTATATTTAGAATACATTATTTATAGAATAAAAGATGATAAAAATATTAATGAGGTCTGGGATAAAAAATCTAAGTAAAATTATTAAATGGTTGTTTGCATTTAATAAATATGATATACATTCTAATTTATAAGTAGAGTTAGGTAATATATCAATTTAATTATTTGATTAAAGAATATTTTGATGTAATTTTACTTTCATTGTAATAGTATTAAATTGTTATTATCAACATTCTGAATGACGAATTAAAAGTTCATAATAATAATTAATAAGATCCAATTACTTATCATTGCTATATCTAATAACCATTTAACACCATAACTTTTGATGCACGTTTAATGAAAATTAAATTTAGCTTATTTTAATGTGACGCATTATGATAATTATAATAACAAATAGTATCTAAATATTTTCATAATTTAATATATTAATTTTTACAAATGTAAATTTAAATTTAAAAATTTTCAATAATTACAAGATAATTTTTTTTTACCCCATTTATCAAATTCTTTTATTATTATTATAACTACAAATAAATTCATTACACAGGAATTCATGGATTTAAGATGGATTTAAGCGTGAAATGTTGATCTTTACACTATTAAGTTACATTAACAAAGTATAGATTTTCCATGGATTTTAAACAATTATATTTTTGAATAAAGCATGGAAATGTTGATCTTTACGCTATAAAGTTACTAAGAATTAAATTAAAATTTGCGCAATGTAAAATTTCAAAAATTTACAAGATAACTATATACAGTATATCATAAATAAAAGTCTGATTTACCCTAAATTAAGTTTGTGTTGGCATTAAGAGTTTATTTCAATTTTATATTTATTATTTAATTATTTTAGCTTTACTGTCTTTAATAATTAAGTGGAGACCTATTGCAATACTCAAAAATATACATAATTGATTAGTGATTGTACCAAATTGCAATTGTTACAAATCACTTTTCTATTAATTGCAGTTTTCTTTCTACAGTTAAGTTTCTACATTCCATGCAAAATTAATAGAACAATTTATTTTAAAATTCATAAATAGTATGTTTTTTTTTGCTGCAAAAAGACGTTTACTGATTTTCCGAAAATAAAAGGGATATATACAAATATGCTTAAAACATTCTCTTTTAATAAAATTTAAAGTACTAAAAATTTACAATCTGACCAAAATATATTTATGTTTGATGTTTATGTCGTGTAAATTATCTCCTCCCTCTCTATCAAACTTTTGGCCGAAAAGTACGCTAAACTAATTATTAATTTAGAACGGGCCTTACCAACGGGTAATAAAATTTTTCCGAATTAAAAAATTCCACAACTAACAAAAATCATTGATAAGTTTTCTAGTTTAACTGATACAATAATTAGTCTGTAAATAAAATTAGTTAAGAAGTTGTCTCATTTCAGTAAAAAACTACATTGATCATAAATTATTAAAGAAATAAACAAGATAAAATTTTTTATTACCTTTGATAGCAAATCTATGAACTAAGTAATTATAACGAATTCTTTTATTCAGATTAGAGTTCTTGACTACTACCAAATTCAAAATTGATTTTAATTTCAAATAAAATTTTAAAGTGTAAAAAATTAAACTTAATATCAAAATTAGATATTAACACATATATAAATTTCAAAATCATTTTATTAAGTTATTGCTTTTATATTGACGCACTTTATAGTTTTCCATGTATTATTTATTGTATTATTCTTATTAATGCAAGCATTATCAGAATTGTATCGATTAATTGCTTGAAAATTTTATATTAACATTAGTAATCTAATCATATAATGTTTATATTTAATAATGTCAGCATAAATTATCTTAAAGTATTACCAAATTGGAATATTTTTATCATAAGTACACAAGTGTAAAAGTTTTTATTTTTTGAAACAATTATTGAAAACAATTTTATTGGAAGCAGCAGTATTGAGCTGCATAAAACTCATTGATAAAGTAAATAAATCAAGTTTCCTTTGTATAGTGATTATTGTAATGGTATTGATATTAAGGTTAACAAATCTGTAAATTTATTGTAGATATGTTCTTATAAAAATCATAAATTATTAATAAATATATTGAAAACTTTTATATGACATAATAAGTTGAATATTATAAAATATTAATAATACAATAACCAAAATATAATATTAATTTTTTCATGTTTATTTAACTTTGAACTGGGTATTAATTATTTTAAACTAATTCAATTAAAAATTAGATAAATAATCTATAACATTCGGTTAACGCAAATGACATAAAGACCTTTTAACTGATCGGAAAGATTATAAAACTGTATTTGGATATAAGGGTTTTTATCTACGCTCAAATACTTTACTTTACAAATTTCAAGTTACGTAAATATTTAAAATTTGAATTATACAAATTTAGTAATATAATTTATAAACATAATACAAATAAAGTATGTCAAAAATATGGTAATAATAATGATAATACTTAACATGACGTAAGACTTTTTTTAAAATTAATAATGTTGCTAATAACTACAAATTAAAATTAAATTGATAATTTATTGTATTTCTAAAAACAAACAACGTCATATGTTTTGTTTTTAATCAAAATAATATTTGTTATTGTGCCATATGCCCATATATAATATATAATTTTAATGATCAGGTATTGTTTTTATTTACATAAAAACTAGCAATTGTGTCAAAGTATTTCAGAGATAACATATTCATGTATAACCAAATTTTTATTTATAAACAAACAATTTATAAATTAGAAACTTACAAATCTAACTATGGATTGAGGAAATTTGTTTTACTTAAAAACCTAATGAATTATACATTTAATGTTAACGTTAACAAAACATTGAGTGTATTTTAAAATAGATAATAATAATTATAACTCGATTCAATTTTTCTTGTTCTAACACTTAAACACTTATGTAAAATTTATTTATAAATTACATTAGTCACAATCAGCTTAGGTCTTAATAAATAAAAATTAAATAAAAATAAATATGAATCACATCATTAGGCATAGTTATTTAATTATAAATAATGTATTTATATTTCCGATCTAAAGCGTTTAATTTTAAATCGCAAACCAAAATTATATTTGAAAATATTCGTTTTTATTAATATAATATATTATAAAATATGTTATTAATAAATGATATAATAGTAATGAAATAGAACATTGAGACAACATAATTTATAATAGTAATGAAAAAAATCTTAATTTCGTGAAATAATAATTAGTAAATTAATTGTATTGATAGTTCTAAATTTAAAATTGATTATATTTTTATAATATCAGTGTCATTCAAAACATGTAATTTTATAAAATTTTACTTTAAACAAGTTATTATGAGTAAACTATTTAAGAGGATTTGTTCAAGAAAATTACAACCAACAATGCATTAAATGTATTAAGAGCATGTAAAATATATTAGTATTATAATTATATAATGCATTATATTTAATATTATTTGGGCAAATGGATAGTCATAGACTATTTGAACTAACAAATAAGTTGCGATTATTAAATTTAACAATACTTTCTATTATTATAAATATCTCCAACTTAACACATTTTTATTATTATGGATTACGCTATATTAAAACCATTTTTTGATCTATTTTCAAGAACACAAATTCAATCAGTTCTTATAGCTTGGCTGCCTACGAAAATAATGCCATACTTAACAGGGATAATAACAGTAGACATGTTTGCAATTACTGTTATAGTTTCCAGTCTTTCAACATTAACTTACCTATTTCATTCTTTAATATATGATTATTTAATAAGCCACTCAAACGACAAAAATTTAATAACAATTCAGATAGATTATTACAATTTAGGAACATACAATGAAATGAATAAAAATATAATTTATGAATCATTGTCATGGCTAATTTCTGAGCAAACTAAAAAATTAGAAAAGGGCAAATTTATACTTCATTTAAAATAATAAATACAAACATAAGATACCGAACACGACAATTTCTCCAAAAAACAATAATGAAATTACTGTTAAGTTCAAAGAAACACATTTTAACTTAATGTACAAAATTTCAGAAAAAAGTAATAGCCATAATGATAAAAACAAAGGAAGTTATTATAACGTCCCATTTGTATCAATAGTTAACGACGATAAACCATCGATATATTTTTCCACCTTAAATAATAAAAAAACATGTGTTGGAGAAATTTTGTTGTTATTTAATAATATTACTGAAAATTATTTAGAATTTCAAAGAAAAAATTATGGTCGTTTTAGATATGAAAACAATCAATCACAATGGAAACAAATACAAAAATTGACTTCTTGCAGAGGATTTGATAGCATCGCGTTATAAAGAGAGGATCAAGAAAAATTATTAAAAAAAGAATTACACGCTTTTATAAACAATAAACATTTTTATGAAAAAAATGGGTTACCTTACAAGCGGGGTATACTTTTGTATGGAAAGCCTGGAACTGGAAAAACAAGCTTAGTAAATGCAATTTCAGCATATCTATCTCGTGATATTTATTATTTAAACCTTAAAATGATTAAAAACGATAGCGAACTGAGTGCAACATTTAGCGCCATACCTTCTAATCAATTAATTGTTATTGAAGACGTGGATGCACAATCTACGGTTCTTCATAATAGAAAATTTGAAATAAACAGTATCGATAAATTTGTAAATGCAAAGTATATTGATAATAATGTCCAAAATTTTACAAGTTCTGATTTCAGTTTATCTGTGTTTTTGGCATGCTTAGATGGTCATTTAATTTCTGAGGGTAATATAATTATAATGACAACTAATCATATTGATTTTCTTGATCCTGCTTGCATTCGGCCAGGTCAAATAGACGTTCATTTTAAACTTGGTTATTGCACTCATTATCAATTGAATAAAATGTTCAAAAACAATATTAACGAATCAGGAATTCCTGTCAATGTGTTAAAAAATATTAATGAAAATGTATTGCCACCATGTGAAGTTATGGCATTAATGTCATTGTATCAAAATGAACAAGAACAGGTTGTTATTGAAAATCTCATTAAAATAGCAAACCAATATAACAATAATCATAAAAATATTTGTAAAATAGAAAATATTACCATTAAAGATAAGAAAAGAAAATGTTCAATATAATATTTATTAGATAGATAATATACAGAAAATTTGTTAAAGCATGCACAATAAAAAACGTAAAATACGTTCCCTTACATTTCTAGGTAATACACTATTACACTGATTATGAATTGTTGTATATTATAATTGTATTTAATTTTTTTTATTAATATTGTATTGTACGTAATTGTATATAAACATCAATAAAATTATGAAGATTATTTATTATTTCATTCCAATAAACTACTATGCATAAAACTAAACGTGATTTTGATAAATGTCATAAATTAAATTCATGCAATGCTTGTAGTATGAAATTAAAAAGTCAACCAAAAAATTATGATGAATATCTTACACTTCTTTCAAATTGGAAAAAAAAATTAGATGATAATAAAAAAAAAATTAATAATAACAAAAAGTAATTTGTTTCAGTCAACTAGAATAATTAAAGTATGTCATGTTAAATGTAAATTTATGAATATTCAATCCATTGAACTCTATGCAAAATGTATGTGATAAATAAAAATACATTAGTATTGACTTTTTGGCATATCACTATATCCAATAATGTATAAATAATAATGAAACATTAATGAAGATGTAATAAGCAATAGTATTTAAAAAAAATGATAGATTTTATAGAAAATGATAATAAAAGTTTTAATAATTTCGATTTAATGTTATAAAAAAATTCGATTATGATGTAGTAGGTCTTTTAATAACGAAAACTTTGTCTCTGGTAAAAGTTTGTTGATAATTAAATGATGCAATTAAAACAAAATAAAATAAAAACAAAATATCAATAAATAATATGCTAAAAAAAGTTAAATATATTAATATAAATAATAAATTGACATACGTCAAATACACTTGTAATTAATTATAGGCTATTCATTATAACAAAAAAGGGTCTACTTTTTTTATTTGAATTTCCAATGATCCTTTATAGACATAAGTGAGTCATGTTACACGTTTGCTTATTTACAATCATTCAGGCGTTTCAAGGTCAGAATTGTAAAAGCTTATTACTTAATAAAAGTAAACCTGACAAATTTTTTTAATCTAAAATAAGCGTTTCTAATTGTTAGTATCGCATTTTTTCACCCATAAACTACCAATAAAAATTATAGAAATTTTATTAAAATGAATTAATATTTTTTAAAAAAAAACAGTACGGATTATATTGTTTTACAAAAACTTAATTAGTAATAAATATTTTAGGATTGTAAATTAAACTAGTTCAACTACCAGCAATGTTTAATTTGTACATTATGTAATATTTCTGAATATTATGTTAATTGCAGCTACTGTCAATATTAAAATCCAAGGTATAATAAGGCAGAAAATCGTCTACGAAAGAAAATGATGTGTTTATTAATGACGGATCTATTAAGTATGGATCTGTATATAATGAACTAATATAAGTTTGATCCATAAATAAAGACGTATTTCTATCTATTTCCATAAAATCGCATTGTGATGTCATGTCGACATCGATTTCCGGAATATTGAAACTTGTATTCGGCATGTTATTGTTTTTACCAATATTGTTTGATTTAATTTCTAACGAATGAGTCGTCACCGAATCATCCAAAACATTATTTAGCAAATTTCTTTTATTTGTATTATTTGCAATTTTATTTCGGTAAAGAGATCTAACTGGGGAATATTTATAATTAGGATATTCTATTAAATGAATTTTCTTTGTAATTTGAAACAATCTAGTCCAAAATTGCGATTCACGCTTTGTAACTTTTTCCCATAAACAAGAAGCAATTGCGGAAGTGTCACCAACAGACATTTTTAATCCAATTAAACCTTTTGAAATATTTTTACGATACAAAACCCAAGGATTTTGAGGTCTTGGAATAGTTTTTGATCTTGTAGTATTTGAGGGAGATAATAATTCTTGCAAATTCAGAATTGTTTTAATGTCACTATAATCATTAATTAATTCGATAATCAACGGTTTTATATTGGTATCTAATTCATTTAAATTTATTGAATTGGTTTGATCTCGCACTAAGGATTGTAGTTTTTTGATTTTATCTATTCCCAAATTTTTTTTTGTTTTTGTTAACATAATTAATAAAAAAATGTCCGTGTAAATTTCTTTATATACTTAATTATTGGCGTTAAATAAAACTCAAATACACATATTTAGTTAATATTAATGCATACTTAATATGCGTATTATTTATTGTACTAACAATACATAAAATAAAAAAAATTTATTTTATCACATCAATTATATCAAATTAAGTTTGTTTTTATATGAACTAACATTAAATGATTAAAAAAATAAAATAATGTTATCTGTTATATGAAAACGCCCAAAATCGAAGTTATTAAATAACCTGTAAATAGGATATTGTAAAGATACAATAATATCTATATTAAAAATATTGATGGATTTAAGGAAAATATATTTCTAAAGGACCTTCAATGCACATTAATTTCATTCGATTTGCTCCATAAACTAAATTAAAATGTTGACGTCAACTTTTATTACGAGAATCTATTTATTGCATTTAAATTCAATTATTATTCTTACCTTCAAACTTAGTATCAAAAATCAAGGTTGTATTTGTTGGATCCTTAATGCCAGATGGCAAAATTTTTAATGCCGTATCATTGAAATTTTTCACTGCAAAAGGACAACTGAATTCGCTACAAAAATCTAAATTTTCAATAAAACTGTTACCATTGTAGGAATATGAAAAGAGAATTGTCGCCCCTTGCTGTATTTCAATATAATTAAATCCTGCATATTTTGCAAAAAACCATTTTCCAATTATAATTGGATACGGAACGAAACTCAACTCGGCTAATTTTACCGGATAGTCAAAATCAGAACAATTTCTATATCCACTCAATTTATCAATAACCTGGCGATCATATAATACCATTGCATATGTTAAATTTATAAATAAAAATAATAAAATTAAATTCATTTTTTTTATCGTTCACTATGCATTTGTTTTTAAGTATTTATATAAATTAAGTTTTTTACGCCTTAAAAAATTTATAAAAAACACGCGTATTACTACCATCATATAATATTTTAAATTTAATTATAATTTTTGTACAACCATTTGTAAATGTAATGCTAAGATTTTTGCACGTAGTAAATTTTAATAATCGCACAACAGTCTAGTTCTAATAGATTAATTATTTTGATTTGTACTATTGACTTTACCCAAGTTAATATCACATTACGTCAATTACTCACGCTTTAATCGTTATATAGTATAAATTATAAATAACAATACTAAATTTATAAAATCAATGGCGGAATTAATTATTGTTCATTTTATAAGCGTTTGTGTTAATTAAATAAAAAATAAATCAGCCCATAATTTCTTTTACGAAAATGTAACCTAAGTTGCGCTTGGATGACAAATTTCTAAGGGGAAGGCACACAAATAAATGTATACAAATAAATAATAAAATGAACTGAGTTAAGTTATAATTTAAGTACAATCTAAGATTACGTGTTTCTTATTAAAATTTTTATATAAAATTGCATTTTAATTTTTAGAAAAATAGTATTGCAATAATACGCGTAACAAAAAACATTTAATAATCCATAATTAATACGTAGAATTAATTTTATTCTTTTACTTTAAATTTTTGACTTTTATAATTATTTTTGGGTCCTAAATATTTCATGTAACAATTATGCTTAAATATGAATTTCAGATTTAAACAGAATATAATTAAAACCAACATTGAATTATTATTATCCCAAAAATTTATACTAATTTTGCCCAAACTCAAAGTACCAGCGAAATTATATGAAATTCAATCCAGATGAAAATCCGCTAAGGATCGAAGCACTAATTATAACAAGGAGTAATAATTCAATACTTATATAATAATACTGAAAAAATTAATTTATTTACGCAAATAATATTTCTGGTTGCAAAAATAAATTCATTGTTTGATCGTTACCTTTTTTTATAATATTCCAATCAACAAACGCAAACTAATAAACAAAAAAAATAACGAAATTATTATTATTAATGTATTTCAATAGAACACAATTTAAAAAACGTCAATAAGAAGTAAATATATTGTTGCATTACATTTTCTTAATACTTTAAATATAAATTATATTAATAATTTCGTATAATCGAAATCAACTTAAAATTCTATGAATTATATATTTTATTACTAATATTAAATAATTCATCCTTTTAATTAAATACTACCTCGCTGCAAGTAACATTGTAAAAACATGGGAAAAAATTTATTGACAACCATATGGATATTCGTTAAATTTTCTGTGTTATGTTTCACATGATTAATATGCCGGTAGTTGGGTATATATGGTCTCATATATGGTGCATTGGTACCCAGACTAAAGTACTATCATTATTTTTGTTTGTCTGGGTCCCATACTTCCATTTGTAGCCTACATAGTTATTTTTTATAATCAAAATAACAATACCAACAAACCGTGATTAATATTGTTTAATAAAACAACTTAAAATGAATTGCTATTAATAACAAATCTTTTTATAAATAGAAACCACATAATCTAATAAAATGATATGTAATCTTTATCATGAATAAAATTAATAAATAAAATTCATTTATCAACGTTACTGCAATTGTTGAAGCTTCATATACATATTAATTTTACACCGTGAAAAAAAATTTTGTAAATAACACAAAACCAAGTTAGTATTAAGATAGAATTATTTGATTTTATTAAAATTACCACCATTTATAGCGTATGACATTTTATGTCAATATAAATTTATACAATTTAATATGAGAATAAGTCTTACTAATATTAGTTGCTACAGCAAAATTTTTTTATTTACACCATTGATAAAAACTAATAATTGTTTAATTATAAAAGTATGGTTTAATTAAATTAAATTGATGATTTTTTTTGGTAAATTGCAACTATAATCAAAAATAACTTAAGATGGGCGTGGTTGACAATTATATTTATAACTTCTTTTTCTAACATTAAATTCTCATAATCGTATAAAGTCACATGCCGGGTACCCGGGTATACTTTTCCAAAATATGTATACGGGGTAGGGTACACAGATGCGTCACGATCATCGTTAATTGCACCCCGGTTTTGTGGGCGCGGTTTTATATGATCACGTGAAGATTATTTATACAGTTTACAGTAGGATCGGCATCATGCATAAAGTAGAAACCGCGCCCACAAAACCGAAATGCTCGTTAATTTGTTTGAAAGCTAGCGCATTTATTATCTATCTATAACCACATTGTAAAATTGTTAAAAAATATTAAAAATGGTATACTAGAAGAATTTTTTTTATTTTGCACTGATCATATGTATGCTGGTGTTTTTGTGGCAGGACATTATATAAATAAATCTCCGCAACATAAATATTATAGATATACTTCTGGAGTTTTGAACCAGTCTAAAAAATCGAAATTATTGTTTCTAGTCTGTGTTATTTGCTCAAATAATCACACAAATTATTTATATTATAAAAATATAACAAATTTATTCATAATTACCTTCAAACTTTTATATAAACCTTTAAAAATTTTATGTAATTATTTTCGTAAACTAATTCATTATCCTAATAATGAAATATTGATAATAATAAATGATTCAAATTATAATATAAATTTATTATGTAAATCATGAAGTTATTATGAATGTTAATTTGATTTATTTACCGTACACTGTGAATAATTTAATAATTCGAAATATTTAATTTTGTGTCAAATTTAAAACTGTAAGTACAAACGGTTTGTTTATTTAAAAGTTTAAACATAAATTTGATACCTTACACAAAATTTGAATCTATTTATGTTATGTCCACGTAAATTTCGGATTTCCAGTACTCAGATATTTAAATCTTTGGGGACCCAGACAAAACTACATGCATAATTCTTTTTATCTAGTTTAACTGCTGTAATCCCATAAAAAATATATCTTTTATATTACAAGAATATTTACTTATTAATTAAACTTTCAATTTTACAATAATTATAATAATTTTTTAACAACATTTGAATTAGAATTCATGGTTTGACTATTACAATAAGTTAATTGTAAAATTTAAATTATTTGAAAACGACGTTATTCATTACTCAAAAAATCAGCAGTTATTAATAGCAAAAAAATGGTATTAATATAAAACTTATTTGGTAATTTAAACAAGGTTATTATTTAATGTACATTAATTATTTGTTGTTATTTTGAAAACTTAAATTTATTAATTGTAGTAGGTATTTTTTTCATCAATAGATTTAAGTATTTTAAATATTAAAATTATAAATTAAAACTTTTTACAATCGTAGAATTTTATTAAATTGATATTACATTACCAAGAACTACCTTTATTTTTAATTAACACGAATTTATGAACTGCTATGTAAATAAATAAAATGACTAATTGTTTATTAAAGTAGGATCGATGTAAGAAAAAGTAGGGTCTATTTCCATGATGTCCAAAAATGCTTGATCATTTAATAATGAATCATACAAATTTTGATCGTTAATTTTATTATCACATCCGTCTATCGGATCAAAAAGGATTGAATCCGTCTGAAATAGATTTTCATCCAACATTTCGATATCAAATTCATAATTATAATCAGTTTTTGTATCGGTTATGTCATTGAACATAAGTGAATCTTGACAAAAATTTTCTTCCCCTTTTTTTATATTCAAATCAGAAACATCCATATCAAAACTGCTTGTATCCATAGGAATGTTTGTTAAATTCGGTTTTAGATTAGGAATTGTGTTTTTGGTTTTTGTATTTTTTAATTTTTTCCTTTTATCAGTAAAAGGATGGTATTTGTAATTAGGGTACTCTATTGCGTGTATTTCTTTTGTGACTAAACACAAATCACTCCAAAATTGTTTTTCTTCTTCAGATCTGATGCTCCATAAATAAGAAGCGATCCCTGACGTTTCACCAACAGTCATGTGTAAGCCTTTTGATACATTTTTACGAAACAAGTCCCATTTATTTTGAGCTCTTGGAATAGATTTTGTTCTAGTTACGTTAGACGATGAAAATAACTCTTGTAAATTTAATATTGTTTTAAAGTTTTCATATTTATTAATAAAATCGAAGATCAATCGTTTTATTTTAGGTTCTTTTATATTTAAATCTAATAATTTTATTTGATCTTTCACAGGAGTACCGATACCTTGTATTTTTTTAATATATTCTTCAGTATTTTTAACAACCATTAAGCAAAAAAATAGAGACAATATCTTCTTATATACAAAATATAAAACACTACAAAAACCTGTAGTATTATTTAAATATTTTGACGTACTTTAACTTTATTCAAAATTATTGTATGTACGCATTATTTAACAATTAATGTTTACAAGAATACAATTAATATTAGAATAAAATAATAATCATAATTGTTAACTAGTGGATTGGCGTATCTAAGTATAAACGATAACAAACTGTAAAAGATTTGTTATTTATAAAGTCTCGTTTATTATGTATTGTTATTGAGTATAATTCGTATTGTAAATAAGTGATATACATTGTTATATGTTTATTAGCCAGACGGATTTATTAATTGTTTTAAATCTATTAGGTATTTGGTTTTTTCACAATTTAATTTAAAATTTTTTTCGTATTGTTTAATTGAATAGGTTATATTTTTCAATTTTATATCTATATACAGTACAACAATTTTAATCGTTTTTTATTGTTTTTACAAAATTTAGCTTTTACCCATGGTTTGATGCTACATAAATCACTAAATATTTATTTATGATATCTATTCTAAATTACGTACAATGATTTAACAAGATATGCTGCGTACTAATCAATTATAATAATAAACAAGATTTTCTTATTTCGATTTTTTTTTAATTTGTTTGCATCTGATTATGTAAAAATATTATTTTTTTAAAAATATCATCATTGTTATTATTATTTGGTTTGATATATTTAAGAATGAATTACGAGGGTAAATTGTTTAAATAAAATGGTTCTCTGAACGGACAAAAAATATATTTAGCGCATTAAAATATAATATATGTTTGGCTAAAGAATTCATTGTTTAAGTTAATTTGTTTGACTTATAGAAAATATTTAAAATTGTAATTTTCTATTAGCTTTTCAAATACATTTAATGAAGTCGCTAGGGTTTTTTACTTAGTGTTTGTATTCTTTAATTGACTTTGAGTAACTTGAAATTATTTGAATGAACTTAATATTTGCAATAAATTTAGTAATTTTATTTTTGCATTTATTTTTATGCTTCTCTAATTATCATTTTCGATCTTAACTAGATTACAATTAAGATCAATAACATTTTATGTTTTTATAAATAATATTGTATTATGTACAGTATTATTATATGTTATGTATTATTTAAGTTTAAATGTATTGTTAAAATTTAATTTATATAATAAGAAAAATACTGAGTAATTGGATTTTAAAAATGAACTCGAAAAAAACTGCATTAAGACAAAATTTGTTAAATCTTTCCAATGAATTTTATAATATTAAAATTCCTGATTATACTACAATATTTCACGAGAAAATTCATAATGAAAATCTCGAACACTTAATTCATGTAGAATATAATAAAGAACAAAAAAACTATTGTCCATATTTATCATTTGACAACAATTCGTTGAAAGAGGCAGCTTATTTACTTAGTGAATATTTTTATTGTTTAGAAAAAACGTTAGATAAATTAATTTACTCTATTATTAAACCTAAATATAAGCAAGAAAGTGAAAACTTACTTAATTTCTTATTGTGGAAAAAAAATGTTGTAACAATTAGATATTATATGGTTCATAACCTCTTTTACGAATTGAATAATATGCAATGGGATTTTAATATTAACATGATCGAAAAATTGTATGACAGTAAATTTAAAGAAACACATTTTCAATTTAATTAACTTTATTTTTTAAAAATATAATTATTTTTATTTTGCATTTAAAATTAAATTTTATTTGACAAATTATAATAGTTTAAAATCATCTAAAAAATAAATTATTTTAAAGTCAATTTGTATTCATTTATCGGCTTTCCTAATTTAAAAAAATGTTTTTTTATAGGTCAAAAAATATACAAATTGCAAAATAATATTTGGCGTATTTTAAATGCTAATGTTATAACAATCTAAATTAAATATAAAATAACCTAATCATTATTTATTTTAGGTTAATTCCAGCAATTAAAATATTGTATTGTTAATATTGTTAATCGATCATTACTACTATTTGTTAGTTAACCAATATTTATCTAATTATGAAACAATAAGGTTTAAATGGATTGGCATTATTTATAATCTAAAGTTAACAAATTCACTAGGAAACGGGAACCGTTGTAAGTCTGAGTGAGGTATAATAAATAAAGTTTGTATCGGTATTTTACTAATTAGCAGCATATCGCTTGGAATTTCGGTAATTTGCTGCTGATTAGCAGCATAACGCCTTGGAATTCCTGTACAGTGAAACTCACGTGATTGAAAATTTACACGTTATTTTCATAGATCATGTTAGTGCGTAGACATAAATAGTCATTCGCTTCTCTAGTCTCTACTGACAATTATTGTAAATGGAGTTATTTATTATTTTATTGTCATATTCGATAACGCATTTTTTGCATAAATCGTGTTTATGATAATTGATTTTATTGCAATGAATGAAAAAACATTTTTTAATTGGCATATCTTTTGCCGAAGTGTATGAAAAATTTTTGCAAGCAGAGCAAAAATTCATTGTAATTATAATTTTGAAATAAATGCTAATTCATTTTATGCTTTTTTATTTAATACATAATATCATTAATGAATTTAATACTAATAAAATCAATGTTCAACAAATTGTATTATTGCTTAATATTGTCATAAATGTATTGAGGTACTATTAACAATCTTTACATAAACTAAAATATACTTTGCGTCATTAATTCTGTGCATATTCGTTTGTTCTGAAACTAATTTACAATTACAATAAATAAAACAGTAGTATTAATTAAAATTTATGTATTCTACTTAAAATTATAAATATTAAAAAAATAACTTGATGTTAAAATAATAACCATGTCTAAATTAATCGATAATTGCGATGAATTATTTTATGATAATAATTTAATAAGCAATTCAAAAAGTAAAATTTATAACAAAAATACATATACTGTTAATAAGAAATTGTTAGGTCTTTACATTACTCCTGATGGCATTTCAAGTACAAAAAAATCTCGATATATTTATGGTAATATTAATAGTTTTAAGAATTTAGTTAGTACTAATGAAAAAGAAAAAATATTATGTGAAGGTTACGATATTATTCATAATCAATTCAGTGTAAGTTCACAAAATGTTTTAATTCACAAATATTTTGATAAACTACTTAATGGCCCAGTAGTAATTATAAAAAATGATAAATCTGATATTGATGTCGATATTCATAAAAATTTATCAAAATTAAGTAAAACACAAAACAGAAAAATATTTCGATGCGATTCTTGTGATGATATAGTTATTAGATCGAATGAAATTAAATTTTCTCAAAAATGTTATTTCATAAATTGTTCAAATGAGTGCAATCATTTACATAAAATATGTATATATTGTCATGATTTTAAATTGCATAGTAATAGAAATAATAATAATAGAAAAAATAACATTAAATTTCTTTAAATTATGCAAATATTTCGATTTAATTTAAACACGTAAATAATTTAGTTACTTAAATAAATTAACAATTTTTAATTTAATAATAAATTTAATAAAAACAAAATGTGATTTATAATTTTGTCTTACATTATTAATTTTCAAAACTTGATTAACATATTATGGTAATCTTTGTTAAAAATGGTCTTTGATTTTATTTCTTTAATAATTGTAATTAAAACCATACTAAAGTTAACAAAATCCATTATTTTTAAAAATTGTTTGATACATAATACAATGTATTGTTATAAGATCAGCATGTAGTAACATCGAATATGGAAAACATAGAAAACTTGTTTCGCTATACAGCTAATTTTAAAAATAAAGTTAATACTGTTATTATTATAAATTTTATGATGAAAAAAATAAAGAAAATAAAACAAGTAAAATTAAATTTTTTTAAACAATTAATTCTATAGTAAAAAATAGTTTAATTTATATATTTATCGAAACGTAATAGTAAAATTTAGTATCAATACATAATATAACTTGTATTGTTAATTTTCTTTATAAGTAAATTGCATCAGCTTGTAGTAACTGCAATTATGGATAACATTGAAGTAATCCAAAATTTATTACACTATGCAGCTAATTTTGAAAATAAAGTTAAAGAAAAAAATGAAATCATGTAACAATTTTAATTGCCGATCTGCATGTGATCGATAGAATTTATATAATAAAATGCGGCGCAACATTTATATATAAGCCATGTCGATCATGTTTTTATATCAAATAAAATGCAACCATATTGTTATACAATTACGTAATTTAACACCTGCAATATACGTTTAAGATCTTAGAAAAAAAAAATTTTTTTATAAAAAGTTTTTTTTCTTTGCAGTTTATAAAGTTTTATATGTGGGAAACGGAGATTTCATAGTATTTACTACTATTTTACTTCTATGGTATAAATGATTTCTAGCTCTTTAACTTTTCTTTGACGCTTATAAAACTTTTTTTGATTATTATTTCTGTCAACTATTACATTTTTAATAACACTACGCACTTTTATATCTCTTTTTCTTTCACAAATATNTATTGTATTTAACTAAAGTGTTAGATAGCTGTCTCTTATACACATCTAGATGTGTATAAGAGACAATAGTTATCTTGAATTTTTTTTAAAAAAATAATAAACAAGTCATATAAATATGGACATAATAATGAAGTTCTGATATAATAGCGCCAGTTGCAACAAGTTTTTTAGGAGTTATGTATGTATTTGACGTTGTTGTTTCTTGGGGAAACAGAGATTTCAAACGGCATTTTTTTTATTAATTAACATAACGCCACATTTTACTATGTAAATTCTATCGATCACATGCGGATCGGCAATTAAATATGATATATATTATTTTCAATATCAAAATATTTATATTAACATATTTCTTTTTTTAGCAAATATTTAGATCTAGAAATTTTAGTACTCAAAGACTCGATAACAAATAATAGAAATAAATATTTTGCAGTAATTATATATAGAAGTTTAAATTTATACGCGTGTAAATGGCAAAGCACTCTTATAATATAACAAATATAAATAAAATCAAAATAGAGGTTGGAACTGGTTTTAATGGCAAATTAACCAATTAAAACTTAATTCTAGTTAGTATTGAATAAACAAACATAATTTAATTCACTGTTTTAGCCGTTTTCAAACTCTAAGTAAAAACACTACTCCAAACCTTTTTTATTTTTAAGTAATGTTGTAAAGCTTAAAATAATTGGCTCATTACGTGGCTTTACAAAGTTAATACTATATCAAAAAATTATAAAATACTTGTATGTCACATAATAAAAAACCTACTTATTACTACAAAAACGTGATAATTTGCGAAAAAATGTTGTTAAAAGTTCACAGTTTGAAATTAAAATAAATTTTTATTATTAGTTTGGCCAAGAATTTGACAAAATGAAAATGGATTATGATATCTTATTAAAAAATTATTTTCATCTTGAAAAAAATTTCGTTAATTTAGGAATAGAAAACAAGGTATGTGTCTTAAATTTTTTATTTATATTGATGTTTTAATAATTACTTTAATTATTTTAGCATTTAAATCAAAGAAACGAAAATTTGATTCTGGAATTAAAATTAAATAAAGAAGAATTATTAAAAATTGCAAATGATAAAAAAAACAAAACGAAAATAGTAAATGATTTTATTATAAATTTAGAATTTATAAATGACTTCAATGAAAAACTATTAAAAAGAAAACTAAAAAAATATGAAGAAAGTATTGATAAATTAACTGATGAATATTCAGAATTGCATTATTTATATAATCGATTATTGGATGATGTAAAAAATGATAAAAGTCGAAGCAAATCTTACTATAGCGATAATAAACAAATTTAAAAATTTATTGAACGTAAGTCTATAACTAAGTTGATCAATAAATTTTGATTTTTTTGCAATGATATTAAAATATATCGACGGAAATATATTTTATGAAGTTCACGTAGTTATTTTTAAAACAGTTTTGGTTTCTTACACATTTCGCACTTAACGCTTTTTATAATTCAATTTGTTATTTAATTTTAATTTTTTTATTTTTTACTAATCAACTATTTTATTTGGTTCTATAGGCAACTTAATAACATTTAATCAGTTTTATTAAATATTAATTTTTATACAACGATTAACCAGTTTTTCTTATTAGGTTTTTATTGTGTTTTTTTAAATATTATGCTTGTATTTTTTTTTATTGTATTTATCTAAGTTTTTTCTCAAGATTTTTATTAGTTTGTTTCAATTTTTTGTTATACTTGTATTCATGTTTGGATTATTTAAAGATTATATGTTTTGATTCAACATATATCTTTTTATCTATTTTATTTCATTATATCAATAATTTTTTTTAAATTTAATTTTATTTTCAATTGAGTTTACGCACGATACTTTTTTATTTTATTTTTTTATTTTATTGTTAAATTGTAATTAGAAATATTCTAAAAATAAAAATTACATTATTGTTTAATTAAAATGTATTAATTATAGCTACTGTGATGATTAAATTATTATTATTTTTTTTTTTTTTTTCCAAAGCCAATATGCAAACAAGTGCGATTTTATTGATTTTACAGATATAAGGTCCATATAATTAAGTACATGACAACAAATCTTGCAAAAAAGTTAAGTAATGAATTAAACACGTAAAACACTACTACCTACACTGCTTGGAGTTACGAATAAAAAAACAAAAAAGACTAAACTCCATCACTATTAAGATGGATTGGGCAAGAAAAAAAATAATATAAAAATAATTTCTAAAACCTAAATTAATTTAAAAAAAACTAAACTAATTTACGCAGCAAGTCTAAAATTTCTGCTAAGACCTTAGATCTTGACCCACCACGGGACTTGTCCTTCTTTTTCTTCTTTTGCTCTTCAGGCTTCTTGGACTTCGTCTCTTCTGGTTTCTTCTTAGAATTCTTAGAATTTGGTTGAGTTTCCTTAGTTTTCTGACTTCTTGAAGTTCGTTGATTCTTATCGGTATTACTACCACGTGATCTTGTTGGTTGCTTCAAAGGAGTATGCCGATTCCCTGATAGGATATGTTCTCCCCAAGTTAATCATTTATCTAATGCTTCACGCATATCAACCTACTTTTCAAAATAACCAATTAACTTATGCTCCCCTCTCGCTGTTTGTATAATTTTAAAACTTTTCAATCCTTTTATCGCAGAAAGGAAAAAATGTGGGCGCTAGTCGGTCCATAAGGTTGCTATCTTCATAGAATCTGGTATCTTATGAATTGTAGCTTGAAACTTCTCACGTTGTTTTCTTTCTTTGAGAGTCCACCTTGCTGGAAACCATCAGACAGGTATCCTCCCTAAATCCGTAGTCCAAACAGGATTTTCATTAATTTCGAACTGAGCTAACCGAAAGGTAATTAATTCTATCTTCAAACAAAGCGTCTGATATTTTCTTTGTGGCTTCATCTGTAAAGAGATAGTTTTCCCACATAGAGTTAGTTGTTTCAGAATATCTTCTGGTGTCCAGAATTAGGGATGGCAACAGTCGGTCACGGTCAGTTATCGGTCGGTCATAACTGGTTAAGGGTCTTTGACCGACTGACCATTTTGGCTGACCGTTTTTCTGACCGTTTAACCGACCGTTTAACCGATCACTTTTTTCTTTTTAACAAATTTTAATCAAGAAAAAACGTTAAAAAGTGTAATTTAATCAAAAAAAAAACGTTATTTAACTTTTTTTATTGATTAAATTCGTAAAAAAAGTGTTAAGTGAATAAATATGGCTAAATAATCGGTTAAATGGTCGGTTAAATGGTCAGTCAAACGGTCAGTCAAACCGGTCAGTTAAACGGTCAGTCAGAAGCCTTTGACTGACCGATATCGGTCACGGTCATAACTGGTCATGACTGGTTAATAACCGTGACTGTTGCCATCCCTAGTAGGGGTGTATGGCAAAATATTATTAATTTAAAGTTATAAAAAAGATTTATTTAAATTACAAACTAAGAAACTTGTAAAATATTACTACTCTAGCCTTAGTGTTTAAATAATTCTAAGTAAAATAAAAAAATAAAGAAATATAATACTTGGATGAGCTATAAAAAAAGGAATTATTTAAATTACAAACTAAGAAACTTATAAATATTTTACTACTCTAGTCTTAGTGTTTAAATAAATATAAAAATAAAATAAAAAACAATTTTTGCTGAATACATCACGTCAAATATCACTTAAAAAAATCTATGAATCTTCTAATAATTAGTTAGTTTCATCTGTTTCAATATCTAAATAATTAATAAATTAAAATTAATCCATATAAATAATTTGCAAAATTAGTTTTTTCTTTAGTACTATATTACATACAACATACCTAATTACTTGTATCTTTAATTATACAATNGTAGCTGTCTCTTATACACATCTAGATGTGTATAAGAGACAGGTTATTAATTTATCAATTAACGATTTTTGTTCTTCAGTCAAGAAAT